CTGTGCGATGATCCCTTCTCTGAACAAGGAGCATTCAACTAATCCACAACTGATGACCGATCTTAGTTGTCCACAAGCACTCTGTTCTAGCCATTTTATGTCCTCGGCTGGGATAATCACCTTGCTAACCTTCCTTTCCATCCTTTCAATCCAGTCTTTCCCTTCTTTTGTTTCCTCTCCCTTTGCTGCCCCTATTACCTTTCCTTTTGCTACCCCTCTATCATTCTTTTCCTTATCTACCTTCCTTCTTTAACATCTTGTCTCTCTTGATTAATGTAGGAGGAATTGCAAGCTTCTTTTTAGTTTCTGGTTGTGTTGCCCCTTGGGCCTCCCCCGTTCTTACTTTTTCCCTCTTATGTTACTCTAATTTCAATACTAATCTTGGGCTTCTTCGCCACTGCCACCCTAATCTGCCTCCCATAAATTCTTCTGCCATGCCCTCTTTGGATAGCCCTGATCAGTTCCTTTTCTTCCCTTTATCTTGCAAAAGCGCATTTAGTGTCTATTGTTTTTCTAAGGCAGGGGATATAAAGATCCATAACGACCCCATACTCATCAAAGCAATCCTTAAGGGTTCTCAACCCAACTTCCTTGTTAATGTTCCCTACAAATGTCGTCTATAGTCTGCTCCTCCACTTTGCCACTCCCCATGGATCCTTTTTGCCCCTACTATCCACGTCCCCTCCTTCTTGCCAAACTCCATGCTCTAATTCTCTCTCTCTCTTTCTCTCTCTACCTTTAATTTACAATTGATTTACACTAGACTTTTTAATTTCTTCCTCTGCATCGAATATAACCTTGTAATTAAGGTTGGAATTGGATTATTAACTGACTTTGAGCACAAAGTAAGAATACAAGTGTGGGTAGTGAAAGAATTCACGATGAAATCAAACACAAATTCTTGATATCATATTGTGTCCAACATGCATGTGCAGGAATTAATTTGAACCATGATAAATATTGTGCAATAATTAATTAATGTTCTGGTTGCAGCAAAAGACAAAAAGAGTTATTATGGGAATCGTTGGTGAATGAGAGTTGACTCTTTGCATTGGAGGGCTGATTTGATCGTTCCTTGAAACATATCAGATGACTGAGGTCCACTAGTCTAACTTAAATTTAATTTAATTTTAATTCATTATTATGGGCAAAATTTATTGTAAGATCGATCTCACAGTAAGATCGAATAATGATTTTTTAAAAAAAATTAATTTTTAAACAAGTTAATAGTTAATCAATCTGAGCAATATATATTTTTATTCATTTTACATTTGATGTTACAATTTTTTTATTTTTCGTTTTACTTGTTTATGTAAAATTACAAAATATAATTTTTGAACAGTATTAACATTATATTTAATTGTTTTAATCTGGTTAAGTTCATTACTTTAAATTATTTCTATCTTAAACTATAATTTCAACTTCATATAATAGAGGCGTGTTTCCATATAAATCTATAATAGAGTTGTGTTTGCAATGACGAATCTATAATTTTATATGAAAGATGATTAAGAAATAAATAGAAAAATATTACATGATGTTGATAAATTTAAAACTACAAACCGAAACGAAATGGCACCACTATGTACTATTTCTTTAGATGAAAACGATCATTGGTATGGAACTGACAATAATTTGTGTAGTCAACTACTATACAAACTTGGCAGAGTTAGAATTGGAGCTTCCCCAAGGGTCGACTGCCAACTATTAGAAATTATTAGGAACAATTTTTTTATTTAGAAAATTCAACAATAATTGATTTTCTTTTAACAATTCAAGAACGAGACAAATATGGAAAAGAAAATTATAAAAGAAATTCTTATATATATATATATATATATATATATAAAAGATTCATTGAAAATAAACGATGAAAAGCCATTAAAACTCAATTCAAATAATAAGAGTGGAGTGAGGTTTAAAGGAAGAAATTAGGTTTTTTTTTTAGAAAAAGTATGTAATTTTATTACTTAATATTAAAGTTAAAATAATTTTTAATTTTTATGAATTACATGAAAAAATAGGAACAAAAAAAACCTCAAAGTACTAAAATAATCCAATTTATGGATATTAAATCCCTATTCTAGAATACAACTAAAGAATTACAAAACTAATTAATTGTACCCCAACCATATTTGATTTACAATCACTAATTATCACTAATGCAGCTAGATCATAACAACTTTCAATCCACGATTTTTTGTCTAATGCCAAAAGCAACCATTCACACCTCACAATCATTTAAAATATTTATCTATCACGCATGTCCAATTCAATCATACATAAACGTTAGTGATCTACTTGACTCTTTTCCAATTAAATCAAAGATCCTTAGTGATGACAAAGGAAGATATTAGTTAAAGCTATTGTGCTATTTCTCGTATATAAAAATTAAAATTAAAAAGAAAAATTCACTATCATTTCAAATCCATATTGTATACATAATTCAATACATGTTCCATGTATTCGTACTGAAAGAATATTAAATTCGTTCATAAAGAAATGGAGATCAAAACCCATGCGTTGACTCAAATTCAGCAGACCCTAGAAAGTAGAAAATTGTGTGATTTGGGAATGGATAAAATTTGGAGCGAAAGTGTTTGCATGAGAAAAAAAAAGCAGGCGGCATTATTAGAATGGAATTATTGTGTGATTCAATTCGAATAATGTGGAAGGCAGGAGAAGTACGTTTCCCAAAGTGGGAGGGTGTTCCTATGCTGTGTAACATCCCTTACGTGTTGTGGGCTGTGGCCAGCCGCATGCATGCTCGCTCTTCCAAAGTCAATCAAAAATCTCTGAATCCCTTCCCTTGGCTCTTCAATGCCTCACCGGTCTTTTTGCCGTTTCACTGACTTTTTTGGTTCTTTTATCATAAAGTATATATATTGAATGTGTACAGTACTTTGAATTCACTTCAACCGAAAAATTTTAATCTTTTATTTGTGATTTTACGTATCCATCAAAAATATGGTTAACATATCTATACATGAAATTTATAATGCACGTGTCCACCTAGGTGTCATACCAAAATTTTATTTATATTTTATCTAAATTTTAATAGCATGTTGATGCAAAAATTCATGAATTTAAAATAAATTCAAAAAGTTGTTAATTAAATGAATCATGAAAATGAAACTAATGGTTAGCAAGATATAGTTATTCTTCAACTCAAAGGCATTATAATAAAATGAAATATATACTTTACTATCTCAAAGGAACAATGGATATGGACTTATATTATTTATTTGTATCAAAATTAAATTTAATTGATTACACAGATGTAAAATATTTATTTGATCTACACATGATTTGATCTTAGAAATATTACTTATTCACATGTTGAGGTACAATATGACTATTATATAATGTTTGATAAGACAAACTATATTTATTACTTCTTTTAACATTATAGAAATTTTTGTCATTCAAGAACTAAGTTGTGAATGTGTTTTGTTAAGATCTGTAATTTAACATATTTGAAGAACATGTAACTTGTCAATCAAGAAGAGAATTTCAATAATGATATATGAAAATAATACCGCTTGCATATCCTAGTTAAAAGAAAGATACATTGAATTCATTAGTACAAAACATATTTCTCCAAAATTCTTCTTCACTCATGATTTCTAAGAAAAATGTGATATTAGTGTTAAACAAATTTACTCAAGTAACAATCTAACAAATTTATTCACTAGAACCCTTCTTACTATAACATTTGAAAAGTTGCTATAAAAGATTGAAATGCATTGTTTTAAATATCTTACATAATACAGTCATCAAGTTTCCCACTAGATTTTTCTTAGTAAGGTTTCCAATGGGGTGATGTTTCAAAAATGTATTTTTGAAAAAAATTATATACTCTTTTCCTTTACTCGAACTTTTTTCATGAGATTTTTTTTTAATAAGTTCAAATCAAGTCAAATAGCGCAATAGGTCAAATAAGAAATCTAGTCCAATTCTAACTCTTAAATTTAATTATGTATATTTAGATTTGAATATATATATATTAAATTAGATTAAGATTTAAGTTATTAACGAATAAATAAACCCTTCACTTCATTCGTAAATACACACTTGTATAACATATTTCTTACTTTACTAATATTTTTCTCGCACAATTGATCTTGCAATTCATATTTCATAGCATTATTTAACTTTTATAATTATTCTTTCAATTTATATCTTATAATATTATTTAAATTTTTGTTAATAGTTGAGGATTTGTTCACTTTTTAGTATTGAATTTTTAAGGTGGAAACATTTTCATCTTTCTTTCTTCCTCCGTTCTCTAAGCGAGTGGGAGAAAGCTCAAGAGGGGTTCAATTTCTAGAGAAAAGGAAATCCATTATATTACAAGTTATAGTACAGCTTGTTGTATTTAAGAATTTATGCCTTAATAAAGAGCCAAGAGTACAGACACAGGGGAATTCAATTTCGTCTCCTAAAGATGGAAAAGAGAATTTAAGCCTGTTTTACACGTGGAGTACATAACACTGTACCGTACAGTGGCACAGCCCCAATTACCCAAGACATAATTCCAAAACGGATAAGGCTTCCCTCTTTCCCCTTCCCCCTTTGCCCCTCTCTCTCTTTCGCTTTGTATATATTTCCTACGCATTTCACTTGTTGTCCTTGCCAATATCTCACTTTAGAACCATCGGAGGGAATCAGGTGTCTTCAACTACCAATCTCCAGAGTAACTGTACCCTTTTCAGTAGAAGCTATGGAGAGTACTAAACCCAACAAGAAACCTTCCTTTCAGCTCCAGCAACCACTACCGTCGTCTCCTCCACTCCCATCTCCTCTAAAAACGATCATCCTCGTGGCTTCCATCGCCGCCGGAATCCAATTCGGCTGGGCCTTGCAGCTATCCCTCCTCACCCCATATGTTCAACTCCTCGGCATCCCTCACAAATGGGCCTCTCTCATTTGGCTCTGTGGACCCATCTCGGGAATGCTGGTGCAACCCATCGTTGGTTACCACAGCGACCGTTGCACTCGCGTTTTGGCCGTCGACGCCCTTTCATTGCAGCGGGAGCCGCCCTGGTCTCCACCGCGGTTGTCCTCATCGGCTTCGCAGCTGACTTAGGCCATCTCTTTGGGGATTCCATGGCCAATGACATCAAGCCACGTGCCATTGTGGTGTTTGTCATAGGGTTTTGGATCCTAGACGTGGCCAACAACATGCTTCAAGGGCCATGCAGAGCTTTACTGGCTGATCTTTCAGGGAACAACCAGAAGAAAACGCGAACAGCAAACGCCCTTTTTTCATTCTTCATGGCGGTTGGAAACGTTCTTGGCTTCGCTGCCGGTTCCTACCCTCACCTTCACAACATCTTGCCCTTTACAAGCACGAAGGCTTGTGATGTTTACTGTGCAAATCTCAAAAGCTGTTTCTTTTCTCCATTTTGCTCTTGCTGACCCTAACCTCCATCGCTCTCTCTTACGTGCATGAAAGACCCTGGTCACCGGCACCTGGATGCGCCGGTAACCAAGGTGACGAGATTGAGGATGAAGAAGAACCAGCAGAGGCGACGCCGGTTCCCTTCTTTGGGGAAGTATTCGCTGCGTTTAAAGACTTGAAAAGACCCATGTGGATTCTCCTGTTGGTGACGTGTCTTAATTGGATTGCATGGTTCCCTTTCTTGCTGTTCGACACTGATTGGATGGGGAGAGAGGTGTACGGTGGGGATTCGCAGGGGAATAACCTCGTTTGAGGCTGTACAATAATGGGGTACGTGCGGGGGCGTTGGGGCTCATGTTGAACTCTGTGGTGTTGGGGTTCACATCTCTTGGGGTGGAGCTGTTGGCGCGTGGGGTTGGAGGGGTCAAGAGGCTTTGGGGGATTATCAATTTCTTGCTTGCTTTTTGTTTGGCCATGACAGTTTTGGTGACCAAATTGGCTAAGTCAAACCGCCGGTTCGCCACCGCGGACGGTGTCAACGTCCCTTTGCCACCAGGAGCAGGGGTCAAGGCAGGGGCATTATCTCTATTTGCAGCATTGGGGATACCCTTAGCTGTAAGTTTTAATTTAATTTTGTTTTCTTGCATAAATTTTGAGTCTCAACTTTATTATGAATAATGACTTGCATTTATGATTCTGAAGGGAAATCCTATACAAAAGATTGAAAACGGATGATGCATTTAATTGTATAGAAGATTAGAGATTATGTTCTTGATCAGTCACATAAGAGTTAAGGAGCTTGTATTGTATGTCATGCTTTTTTAAGAGCTAGCTAGTGCATTTTTGATGAATTTTGAGACTTTTTTTCATCAGAAAAATACAAAGGCTAAATTTATTTGGGAGTAGAGGCATACTATATTTTGGTACTTCCAATGGCCATTTATTGCATTGTGATAAATTGGGAATCGATTTTTGTTTTCTTCTTTATTTGGCATATTATTGTTCTTATCACATTACACTACCATTTTTTCTTCTCCCTGTTGGAAGTATGCCTGTGGAGGCAGTCAACTCTCAGAAAATGAGTCACATTTTCAAGTGAAATGTTCTGAGTTCATGTTCATGCATCTGTGATATGTTTTCTTCTTGTTCTGAATTTTATTATGATTAGTAGGTCTCAGAAAGGGAAATCTTGTTTTAATGGGATTAATTCCAAAGGATAATTTCCTATGTGTATGTTTTTTCCAGGTGACTTACAGCATCCCTTTTGCATTGGCATCCATATTTTCTAGTTCCTCCGGTGCAGGCCAAGGTAAATTTTCCTGTAACTTTCTGGTATTCCCCCAATCATCCATTCAAACTAATTGATTATCATTTACTCTGAACACAGGGCTTTCTTTGGGAGTGCTGAATCTTGCAATAGTAACGCCACAGGTGACACTGCATTCTTATTAAAGCTATAACTTTAACTAGATCATTATAGATGGTAGAGTTAAGCCAGTTACAAATTTCGTATTGATTGTGCTTTCTTATGAATTTGCAGATACTGGTTTCATTAGGGAGTGGACCCTTTGATGCAATATTTGGAGGTGGAAACCTTCCAGCTTTTGTACTTGGAGCATTTGCAGCAGCTGCAAGTGGAATATTTGCTTTAACCATGCTCCCATCTCCACCCCCTGATATCCCTGCTGCCAAGGCTGCAACTGCTGGATTTCATTAACAGTATATGGATCTAGGAGCTTCATCTCTCCTTCCTCTTTTCTTATTATATGATAACAAAAGAAAGAACCTTAACCGGCATTTTTTTATGTAAAAGAAGTGCCAAGGCTAGCTCAAATAGCCGTTTTGGTATTAAGATAGCCAAAATGGCTATTTTACTTTTAATGTCAAAAGCCAGTAATCGTACGCTTAATTAGCATGATGGTCCAGTATGATAATACAAGTGCTGACATTTGGGTTGGATTTGTCGAACTTCAAGACATAGAAAGAAAGAGAAATGACTAACAAGAGAATGGAAGAAACCTAGTCTGAGTGAGTAACTCTAGTCAAGCAAATTTCTCCCAAAATGTTCTTTTAATTGGTCTTGTTACTCAAAGCAGGAGGAGGTATGCAAATTCGTCGTACCAATAAGGTTCATATAGGACTAGGCCCAAAAAACAAAACAAAAGGTGTAGGGCAGCTAGCTAATCATCGTTGATTGGCAGTAGACACCCAGCGCAGGACAAAAATGCTTTGATCTTGTAAAAGATCCTCTGTGTGTGTTTGATCTTGTTAAGAGTCCCCTTGTGATGTATGGTCCCAAACTGCAAGAAGCTTTGGGCAGTGGGTTGGTGAGGCACATGTCTTGCATTGGATATATTTAATTTGGATGTTGTCCTCTTGTTGATGACCCCTTGGAACAAGCTGTTAATGCCTCCAACTTACTATGATCAAAAGAAATTCACATGGCTTTCACCAGACGAGGAGCATGAAGGGAAGGAGATTCCTTTATGTACATTATTTCGTTTTACCTGTCGTTGTTAAGTGGACTTAGGGCGAGAATTCAATAGTTTGTTATCGGATATTACAACATTTCTTGTCTACAAAACACCGCTGTTCTTTTGGCCTTTTTTGTTGCTTATTATCCTACGGGAAAGAAAAACATAAAGCAAACATCAAAACATTCTCTCTCTCTCTCTCCCAGCATAGCAGAGATTCTCAATCAAATTAGTAGCCGTGAACAACTATTTGCAATTGGAGGAAAGCAGAGAAGGAAGAAAGAAAGGGGACCGGGATTGAACATGGGCTTTCAAAGGGACTCCCCCAAGAATTCTCCAAAAGCATCACCAAAGAAGAAAACTACCCTTCAGCACCTATTTGATCTAGATTCCAATCCTTACATTGGAAGTAACCGTTCTAGTCCCACCAATGGTAGGCAGTCTTCCTTTGACACCGACTATGAACAAATCCTTTCTGCAATCTCTGACTGCAACGTCATTTTCACTTTCACTGATCCTCTGGAGTCCCCTTCACAACAAGACCTCAAGCGCCTCAAGCTTGTTCAAGTTCTCTCTTTGATCAAATCCTCCAAGAAGCCATTGCATGAACACCTTCTGTCACCTCTCATGTCCATGGTGTCAGCCAATCTCTTCAGGCCACTCCCTCCACCTACCAATACTTCCACCATCTCAGACTTACTTGATGATGAAGAACTTCTTTCCACTTTTGCACCAATATGGCCACACTTGCAGATTCTTTATGATATTCTCCTTAG